TGCAATGAAGCAGTTACTAAGAGAAAAGAAGCTCTTAAAACTTACAGAACTATTGCCAATATGGAAAATTATATTAAATTAAAAAAAGCAGAAGCTATCGCGAAAAAAACCTTCAATAAAGCAAGAAGAGACTCATTTAGAGCGTTTTGTGAATCCTTGGACAGGCTAACACCGATCTCCAGAGTATGGAGAACTATTAAATCATTTAAAAATAGATACACTCAGCCTGTTATTGCTTCCTGCTCAGCCGACATTGAAGTAATAACTAAACTACACAAATTAATTGATGAAAGCTGTCCCCCTACTGTTTTCTACGATCAATTTCCACAAAATTTTAGAAGTAATGAATTTTTTGAACAACCATTTACGGAAAGAGAACTAGAGATTGCTATATCTTCACTAAAAGTTAAATCTTCTCCAGGGCTCGACAAAATTGACAACAATATAATTCAACATCTACCCCCGAACGCAAGGAAAACGCTACTCGACATTTATAACACGGTTTTAACAACGTCTTCATTCCCATCAACATGGAACAAATTTTTAATCCTCTTTATACCGAAATCAACACCAGGAAAATTCAGACCAATATCTCTTGCGTCATGTCTATTTAAACTAATGGAGAAGCTAATCAACACGAGACTTAGCTGGTACTTGGAACACAACCTGCTACTATCACCTACACAGTTCGGTTTCAGGAAAAACAAATCGTGTGCTGACAACCTCGCTATCCTGGCAACAGAAGTCTGGACAGGATTCGCCAATAGACAAATCACCGCAGGCCTCTTTCTAGATCTCAAAGGCGCTTTTCCCAGCGTTATGCCAAGCATTCTAGCAGAAGATCTATGTGAATTAGGAATTCCAAGGTCTATAACAAGGTTTATCTATAATTCTGTAGCTCACAAACAACTCTTTTACAAAATCAATGGAGAGATTATTGGACCTAGAATTAATACAATCGGAGTTCCCCAAGGAAGTGTCCTCAGTCCTGCACTATACTCCTTATATACTAGGAAACTGGTCTCTATTATTCCTAACAATTGTATTCTAGCCGAATTTGCAGATGATATCGCAATCCTTTGTAGATCGGAAGATCCCATTGAGTGCGTTGCAATTCTACAGAACTGCTTAAACATCATTTCACGTTTTCTCTCCGATAGAAATTTAGACCTCTGCCCTGAAAAAACTAAATTAGTACTATTCAATAGACTTCGATTAGATGTTAATAATATAAATCTTTCGCTTAACTTAAACAACGATTCTGTGTATCCTTCAGACTCAGTGAAATTCCTTGGAGTGATATTTGACTACAAATTTAACTTCGATGAACATTTCCAATACTTGGCGAACAAAGCCAGAAAAATTCTCAATATCCTAAAAGTACTAAGAGGCACCTGGTGGGGAGCTGATCCTACTGTTCTCCTTAATGTTTATCGTTCATTAATCAGAAGTCCATTTGATTATGGCTCTCATACTTACACCTTCCAACGTTATAAATTTTTCGATAAAATGGAAAAGATAAGAAATCAAGCATTAAGATTAGCCTTAGGATACAGAAGAAGTACGCCGATCAATGTCATGCTCGCTGAAGCATGCGAGCCCCCCCTGAGGAAACGTTTTTGCTATTTAGCTAAACGCTACTTAATTAAAACCTTCGCAAACATTGATCATCCTATTCCTGACAGTCTGAGAAACTTATGGGAAATCACTCACCAGAGAAACACATATCAAATTAGAAATACGTTTACACTTATTATAGCCTTTGAAAAAGTCAAAGAATTTAAGCCACTTATTCGTAGGGCATTCTTTCATCCTTATTATGAGTTTCCTTACAACGATCACCTATTCACTCCTCAAGTCGACCTAAAGATAGGTAAGACTGTTCAACTTAGTGTTTCTCCGATTGAAGTCTTTAAAGATTTAACGCAACATAAATTTCAAAATTATGCATCCTTTTTCACAGACGGTTCTAAGATGGATTCCGATTCCGAATTTGCAACCGGATGCTCCTCTGTTTGTACCTCTCACAATTTTTTCAACTCCTGGAAACTACCTAACCATGCATCAATCTTCTCAACTGAAGCCATTGCTATCTTATACACACTAGACTTTATACTCACACAGAACTTTCAACACTCAGTTATTTACTCCGACTCATTAAGTGTCTTACAAAGTATTGCCTCTGTTAATCCTACCAATATTAAAAACAACCTTATCTTCCTTATTAGAAATAGACTATCCACCCTTTCTAATCTAAACAAAGAAGTCTGGTTAATCTGGATTCCCGGACATATGGGAATTTCGGGAAACGAACGAGCTGACGAAATTGCCAAAGAAGCAGCAAACAATGGAGACTTACTCAACATTGCTCTGCCCTTTTCTGACTTCTATACATGTCCAAAAATTGAACTAACTAAAACTTGTGATGAATTTTTTAAAACTGTTGGCGAAATCAAAGGCATACTATACATGAAAAACTTCTATCAGATCCGAAGCAAACCCTGGTTCCATACATTTATTTCACGCAGAGAATGGATAACCTCTATAGGCAGAATGAGGAGTAACCATTACTCTTTAAACGCAAGCATGTACAGGAAGAACCTTGTAAGTTCTCCAGGATGTTCTTGTAACCCGAATGTGATGCAAGATATAGATCATATCCTCTGGGCTTGTCCTAAATTTGATTTATATCGGAAACCACTACTAAAATCATTCTCCAAAGCACTAAATTGCCCTCCTCCATTTTGCAGTATTCAGTTTTTAAGCAATCCAACACTCAGACTAGTATCACCTATATTTAGATTCTTAAAACTTTGTAATATAAAAGTCTAACTTTTATATTCTTCTACCAGGTATCATTACAATTTTTTTTTTTTTTTTTTTTTTTGTTTTTTTATTTTTTTATTTATTTATTTTTTTTTTTCTTTATTTTATTTTATTTTTTTTTTGATTAAAATTCTCTCCATGCGTTCACGAGTCCGCTCGATTGGTGCTGTGTCGTTCTCTCTCTCTCTTCAACTACGGTTGGAGAGAGAGGGAGATTGTGTGCTGCTTTACCTCCGAGTACGGTGTGGACTCGGTGGAGAGGCGGCTTGTTACTTATGTTTCAGATAGATCATGGCTGTATGTACAAGGCTTTAGTCCACAGTACGTTGCCAATGTGTCGTGAGTTGTGTTCAACCCATGACTATAATAAGAAGAAGAAGAAGAAGAAGAAGAAGAAGTCACTCTTGAAAGAACGATGAGAGAGATCATTATTTTGACGTGCGAGTTAGAAAGTGTGGTTATGTTTTATTGTTGACAACAGCAACTATACGGGAAAATCAAGATTTAAATAAGAAAAAATATTAATTAACAAACTGCAAAGAGAAGAGTAAGTACAATATATTATAATATTAATAAATTGTAATATAGGTGTGAGTAGATATTAATAAAAAGATTATTGTTGTCGAACCGGAGTAATTCTTTTCTTTGTATGATAAAGTGAATGAATACAATATAATATAATGCTATAATCGCTATAATGCTAATATAATTAATATCTACTCACACATTTCCTATATTACAATTTATTAATATTATTTAATAGTATAATATATATTGTCAACAGTAAAACATAACATGCGCGTTATTTTTGAAAAGCCATTACTACTCAGTGAACCAAGGCAGAAATCTGGCACCAGTTTGACTAGGGGATACGCTGGAGAGCAGTCTCCTTATTATTACTCCGTGATTTGGGGGATCAGAGTTATGAGGCTGAGGCTGGAGTCCCATGGCAGCGTTTTGCGTTGCGTTGTAATGAGAGAGAATGCAGCAAACGTATATTTGCGTCTTTTTCTCTCTCATTACAACGCAACGCAAAACGCTGCCATGGGACTGCGGCCTGAGAGTTCTCACAACGTTCAGAGGTTGCGCCTCTGTGGTGGAAATTTGGTATTAAAATATCGTCTGCTTAAAACTTATTCTGTACTTTACATTTTCTCCGCATGAGCGCGCTGCCTCTGAACGTTGTGCAGATTATATTTTCTCATAATAGTAACTCTGATCCCCCAAAATGATGCTGATTTTTGCCACTATAACTATTGGCGTTGGGTGTTCTTATACTACTTCATGCTTTTAAGGTATTAAGGCCAACGCAGAATAGATCTGTAACCGGAACCGCAATCGTAAGCGTAACCGTAAGAATGAGTTAAAGAAGGATAGGTATATTGTTTATCCTTCTCTAACTCATTCTTACGCTTACGGTTAAGATTGCGGTTCCGGTTACAGATCTATTCTGCGTTGGCCTTGAGAGAGACAGTTTAACTCCCAACTCTATTCGTTCGTATGAAAATTCATATAATTTAGTTATTTTTTTAACTTTCTGTCAATATATTTATAGCTTGGTGCGGTCAAAAAATGTCATGTTTTTTTTATTCATTTGTTTCATCTAATTGAATAGTTTGGTAGTTTTATTTCAAAATCTGACGATTAGTTATCATATAAATAATTATTAAACAAAATCAATACATGCATTGGGTGCTCCCTCCATGCAAAATGTATGAACTTTGAATTAATTTTTTGAAGCTTTGAAACGGTAAAAATTAATGAAATTGGTCTCATTCTGTAGATAAATACTTCAGGAATAAGTATGCAAAATTTGAAAAAAATTTGACGAAAATCATTTTACGCGACTAATACCTTAAAAGGTATTAGCTGGGATAAACTAAAATAAAAATAAACTTAAACTAAAAAGTTTAAAAATTTGAAAAAAAATTGAATCTGAAAACTTTTGAAATTATCAAAGAGGAAAAAAGGAAAACTTGAAAAATGTATAAACTCTTAAAAATCCCAGGCCTTTTACATGATTTTCAGGGGACCAGGGGACTTTTAAAAATTCCATACCTTTTTCATGATTTTCAGGTTCTGTAGGAACCCTGGATTTGTAAATGATTCCAATAATAAATTATGAAAATAAGAAACAACATTTAAAAAGGTTATATTGAAGAATAAAATATTGATGAAACTGATAATAATTGGAATATATTTTTCTGTACATTATATTACTTTATCGAAATTAATATATCTCAAAATTATTAGAAATCGAACATGCCTTTGTCATTTGATGTTAAAGCCTGCTTATGACCAGGATATTTCTTTTTGTATTTTAAACCTGTTACAACTGTAGAACTGCATGGAAAAGCAGTTTTACCTTCAAACTTTGTGTCAGTCTCTGAAAAATTCAAAAGAAAATTAATATCTGATTCTGTTACTTACGCTAATTATTATTGTAAGAAAAAAACCTATTCACAGTAAAAAGTAAATATCTTAATTTAAGATCGCAGTGTTAAATTCAGCACTGTTTGCTTCAATGTTAAATCCTCCAAAATCCATTGCGTAAATTCAACATTGACTGTCTTAAAAAGGTTGTATCTTAATTTAAGATATTCAAAAATTTGAAATTCAATAACATATAATAATTAAAACTTGCTACTTTGTTACTGTAACTTCTTTAACCCTCCATCCGTCGCATGGTGAGAATTTCCCTCACCCAGTTTCTTTTTTTATTTATAACTTTTAAAATACAAAAAATTATAATTTCATATTCTCAGTACCTTTTACAACACTCTTCTTCTTTACATTAAAACAATTTTTGTGTTTTTTATATTTTAATTTCTTTGTTATTGAATTTGAAAGCAGCAAATGTCGGGGATTTTTGACGCGAAGTGAGGGAACTTCTCACCATGCGACTGACCGCGTATACTCGATTAATTTGTCATTATTTTTTTATTTAAATAATTAACAGGAAATAAAAGTTAATTTTACTGCCAATAGGTTGTTTAGAAATTCTAATGAACATTCAAAAAAAAAATTTGGCATTTTAGAACAAGTTTGGACTAATTTATGAGGGTGAGAATTTCCCTCACCTGCGACGGATCGCGTTACAAAAAAAGGTGCGACGGATGGAGGGTTAAGAATTATTTTTATTATTACGATTATTCATTTCTAGAATTTTCAACTAAAATTCTTCTTTAAGGCAATTTTTTTAAAAAAATTTTTGAAAAAGTACTTTGTGAATTTTCAAATTTTTTTGTTTACAATTTAATTTTACGAAATTTCGATTATATATTATTCTGACATTCTTCAATTGAGGCCTTGGATCCAATAACTCGCCCGACGCTCGGAGGAACGCGCAACTGCCAGTCAGTGAGCAGTGAGCGCCTCTGGGCCACTCACTGCTACCCGACTGGTATGAGCGCGTGTCTTCGAGCGTCGGGCGAGTTATTGGATCCAAGGCCTCAATTAAATATATTAGAAATTAAAAACTTCAAATAATTAAAAAATTTCCATTAAACTTATTGAGAAAAATTAATTCTATTGAATTCTGAATTAAAAGTATGAAAAGTTCAAATTTTCAAAGATTTTAATTTGAAATTAATTTTGAAATAAGTATATTTATTAGAAAATTCTACGAGAATTCAATTATTTAACTATAAAAATCAATATTTTATTAAACAATTGAATGTTTCTTATAATTTAATTTTCATAAAGAATTTTATCAACAAATTTTTAAATAATTTAATTCTCTTGACAAATTTTAATAAAATTTTTAAGAATTATTGCATTTTTCGAGAAATTTAATAAAAATTGTATTAAAAATAATTGAAATTCTGACAATAATTTTATTGAAAGTTTTGAAAATAATTGAATTTCGGAGAAAAATTTTAGTTATTTATATAAAGATAATTGAAATTTTGCCAAGAATTTTTGTAAATTTTTAAACATAATTGGATTTCTGCGAAGAATAATATTAAAATTATTTTTAAAAAATTGAATTGTTACGCAAAGAATTAATTAAAATTTTTGAAAATAATTTTACTTATTCTTTAAAGAAATTTATTAAAAATTTATTTAAAATAATTTCAATTAATTAATTGTATCAAAAGTTATTAAAATAATTAAATTTCTTTCATAAATTTTAATAAAATTTTTAAGAATAACTTTTTTCGAGGAATTCTATTAAAATTGTATTAAAAATAATTGAAATTCAGCATTGAGTTTTATTATTTATAAAAAAAATTTAATCCCTGTAAAAAATGTTATTATTTATGAAAATAATTAAATGTTTGCGTAGAATTTTATTAAAATTTTTTTTTAAATAATTGAATTCTTTTAGGAATTTTTATTAAAGTAGTAGATATTAAAAATCATTGACTTGAGGACATTTTTTGAAAATAATTAAAATTTTTGAAAATAATTAAATTTCTGTAGAGCTGTGCAAAATAATTCGAACCGAACTGTTCGAATTTTTTCGCCTAATTCGAATGTCGAAAAACCGACATTTGACATTTCAGCGCCCCAAAACCAAACAAAACTCGGTTCGGTTCGAATTTTGCACAGCTCTAAATTTCTGAGAAGAATTTAATTTTACTACTTTTGAAAATAATTGAATTACTGCAAACATTTGTAATTGCTTCAAAATTCAATTTGTTTTAGTGTTTTTAACTAAAACTCTTCTATAAATCTATTATTTTTAATAAAACTAGTTAAATATAAATTAAAAAATTTAACTACTTTCAGAAGAATTTTAGTTTTAAAAATTTTTTTTAAATCTAAGTTTTTTTTATATTTTTAATAAGATTCATTTTAAGTTGAAGTTTCACAAAATTCTAAATAAAAATTTTTTTAAATTCATCTACTTATGAAAATTGTAAAGGCAATTCTTTTAAAATTGAATGAATTTTAAAGTATTTAAGTGAAATTAGATATCAAGAATAAACACAATAACTTTAGAAAACAACAATTTTCCAGGATTTCGATCAAAATTCCCTGACTTTTACAGGATTTTTCAAAGTTTACTTATAAAATTCCCTGCCATTTCAAGGTTTTCCAGGTTTGCAGATTGCGTAGCAACCCTGTTTTGAAACAAGGAGGCAGTTTTTGTTTAAAAATAGCAATGCTACATAAACAATTAAATACCTAACCAAGTAACTTGCATATGCTTTTAAAAATTTGTGAACATGTGTGTTATAGATGCAGAAGCATTTTCTATTGTTCAAATGGGAAAAACTCCTATTTAATTTGAAAAAATTAAATATCTTTTTACTTCATAAAATTATGTAATATTCTTAACTATTACATCTATCGTTATATAGTATAAAGAAAAGAAAATTAACACACCTGGATGGAAGCGATTATATTCATAAAGCACATGTAAATTTTTTGGTAGTTCCATGGATTTTAGTGAATCAAGAGGCGATAATGCATTCACTGAGGTATTATAAAAACATCTTAAATCCCCTGAAAAATTAAATATTTAACATGAATTAAAAGCCATTTTTGGGTTTAGCATAAAAAGTTTCATGTAACCCTCTGCATCATGTGGATGTGAGGGTAGAAAATTTCCTGAAAGTTGAAATTAACTTGACTAAAACCTACTGAATCTTTAGTCCCGAAGTTCATGATACTTCAAATAAATCTTTAAATGTCATCAGTTTTTCAATGTTGGACGCAAAACTTTACTAAACATTGCATGAAAGTTTAAAATTTTTAATTTAAAAAAAATGTACCTATAAGTTTCTTTAAAATGTAAGGGGAGTAATTAAATAAAACACTTAAGTGATATCAGGATTTATTAAAATAATACGTCTTATCGGACCGAAGGTTCACCACAAACTGCCCACCGTTACAATGTCCCTTTATCGTTACGTAATAAGGGAGGTTTGGCGTCATATCGCCATTTACGAGGGAAAATATCTTACAATTCGGCCGTCCTGACCAAAGTTCGACCTCGAACTGATACATTTTCTTTTCGTCGTCAACTACAATTTAGGATTATAATTATTCTTACATAAAATTCATCACCCACACTCATACTTTCCAGATTTTTTCTGTTATACAAAATACTCAGGAAAAGATTCGAAAATCACAAAGACCATTTCGGATTGCCATGGTTTAATATTACAAGCTTCCCAGGTGCCCACATACGGTACTTGTGTCACCTGGAAATTTTCGACATCAGACAATACGTATCGATCGTTACGCAATTTTTTAATTATCTCATACGGACCTTTATACAGAGGAATTAATTTTTTTGGTCCACTCGCGGATGTGTCAAAGTTTTTTACAACTTCGTAATCACCGACTTCATAAATGTGAGGTTCTTTCCTCTTTTTGTCGAAATAATTTTTATTATATTCTTGTGATTTTTCAATTTTTTTACTCGCCTCAGATCTGATTTGCTCAAAGTCACGAGTACTCTCGCTGCCTTGAGCTGGCCCCAAATTTTCCGCGACTTTATCAACGATTTTTCCTCGCTGATCTACTCCGAAAAGTAGCCTACTGGCCGTTGTTCCCGTCGAACTGTGGATCGTATTATTCAGGGCGAACTCAACGTCAGCGAGCATCTTAAACCAGACTTTACCCACAACAGGTTCAGAGAGTTTTGCAATCATGGGGCACATTACCCGGTTTACCCTCTCAACCTGTCCGTTGGCTTTCGGCGAAGCTGTCGCGATCAGAACATGATTAACGTTTTTCTCATTCAAAAAGTCTTTGAAATTTTGCGAAGTAAAACATCTCCCGCGATCTGAGACGATTGTTTTCGGTCGACTATAATTAACAAAATAGCTATTTAAGCAGTCTATTACTTCTTTCGTGTCTGTGGTCTTCACCGCATACAATTTTGTGAATTTTGTGAAGCCGTCAATAATTAATAAAATATATTGCTTCGAGGTAACATTTCTAGAGATAGGGCCAAAGTGATCAATATGGCACGTTAAAAAAGGTAAACTGCCCTTAGGAATCGGATGAAGAAATCCCTCTCTCCTGCCAGTCAATGGAGAAAAAGCCACGCATTTAAGACAATTTGCAATGTAAATTTTTATTTTTTCCTTAATTCCCGGAAACCAATAATTTCTAAGAATTATCTCAGTTGTTTTTTCTACCCCAAAATGTCCCATATCGTCATGATATTTTTTTAAAATTTGATTTTCCATTTTTTCAGGCACATAGAAAAGGATTCCATCATTCCGCTTCCTATAAATAAGGCCATTTCTCATCTCGTATAATTTATCTTCCGACAATTGTAACTTTTCACGCAATTCACGAATTTTTGGATCTAAATTTTGGCATATGGTTAAATTATCCTCGAGAGTATTCTCTTCGACAATCACAATATTGACCGACCTACTAAAGGCGTCAACGTGTTTCATTTTTTCCCCAGCGCGGTGTTCAAATACTTTGTCATAGTGTTCGAATTCCAGTGCCCAATTATTAATTCGTGTATGTACATCTTTTTTTTCTAACGTCAGCTTAAGCGCGTTACAATCAGTTATTATCTTAAATTTAATTCCCTGGAGGTAAATACGGAAACGGCGTAGCGCATATACAATTGCCAAAGTTTCTAACTCGAAACTATGGTATTTACTCTCCGTTTCTGTTGCCCTTTTAGAAAAGTAAAAGATTGGGTGAAAATGATTGTCGGATTTACGCTGCATAAGGACTGCACCAAATCCCAATTTGCTGGCGTCGCAGTGCAGTTCTGTTTCGTCATTTATACCGTAAATTCCCAAAACAGGTGCTTCCGTTAATTTTTTCTTTAAAGTTTCAAAAGCGTGCATCTCTTCTTTGTCAAATTTAAATGTCATATTTTTTTTAAAAGGTTATAAAGAGGTGCAGCTATTATTGAAAATTTTTCCATAAATTTACGAAAGTATGCACATAGGCCCAGAAAACACTGAATTTCGCGTATGCATCGTGGAATCGGGTATTCTACTACGGCCCGAATTCCGTGATTAGTTGGTCTCAAACCCTGAGCAGATACTTCATACCCCAAGTACTCTATTCGCGTTTGTAAAAATTTACATTTATCTATCCGTAACTCGAGTATATTATCAACCAGCAAATTAAACAACGACTTAAGGATCTCAAAATGCCTCTCCAATGTCTCAGTAGCGACAAGTATGTCGTCCAAATAAACAACGACATCACCCGACTTTATTAACTCTTCAAGGACAGCATTGACAAATCTCTGAAATTTCGCGGGAGCAGTTTTCAAGCCAAAAGGCATTTTTAGATATTCAAACTGCCCCAGCGGAGTAATAAATGCAGTATATTTAATAGAATCTGGTGACATTGAGATGTGATGGAATCCATCTTTCAAATCTAGTATTGTGGAAAATTGTTTATCTTTTAGCTTGTCAAGCAGGTCCTCGATCAGTGGTAAGGGATAATTATCTCTCAAAAGGATTTTATTAAGAAATCTATAATCCACACATAATCTATATTCGGAATTTTTTTTCTTTTTTACTAGGACAATTGGAAAAGCATACTGAGCATCACTTTCTCGAATTATTATTTTTTTTTTTAAATATCTAAAATTTTCTGAAGTTCTCTTTTTTCTTCAAAAGATAATCTACGCGGCCCGAAATAAATTGGTCCATCGTTCTTTACTCTTAACGTTAACTGCATATTAATTTTCGGACATATCGGGCGTTTTTTATTTTTATACTCAATAAAATATAATTGAATTAATCTGTTTTGTATATTCGCGTCCATCTCCGGATTCACCTCCAGCGCATCTGCACTATCATCCTCGGGCATATTAATGTTAAAAATTTCTCTCGTAATTATAGCTTCCGCCAAAGGTAATGCTTTCAACCCCAGATTAAATGACTTTAACGCGTCCCGGCCAAGAATAACAGAATTACGCATCGTATCGTCGGGTACAACGAACAATTCTAGTTCGCGTTCACAATCGTCTAAAGAAACATTCACTCTTACAACACCCAACATTTTCAAGGTACTATCATTTATTCCGGTGTACTTACAATTCATCGGCTCGAGAGACTTCATACCTTCGCTTGGAACACAACTTTTCTTAAGAAAGCTGATTGGACTGCCGGTATCTAGGAGAGTATCCAACGACGACACGTTCTCTTTCACTCCATTGTAAAATCGAAAATTACATATTTTAAAACACCGTTCTTCAATAGAAACTTCATTCATTTTTTCGGACGAATCACAAAACATGTCACCAGATAACACATTTACACCATCTTCGTTCTTCGTTCGTTGATCCTCGGTAATATTGCTGATTTGCTTGGAAACCCGTTGCTGTGTATTTTTCCCAGGACAGTCCTTCAATACGTGACCCATTTGGAAACATTTAAAACAAGCACCTGCTTGTCTCTTAGGAAGTTTGCACTCACTTGATAGGTGTCCGAATTTGCTGCAGTTGTAACATCGTATTGTTCTTACCGATGGATTACCATCTGTGGAAGGGCCACCATTCTTGAGACTATTCGGGGGGGGGGGAGGGAGGGGGTTTATTTGTTTCGATTGAATTCCCAGTGGCATTTCTAAGAGTAATTTTTTCGAAAGCTTGTAATAATTTTTTTGTTTCAGAAAAACACTGAATCCTGGCTTGATCCCTGAGGGTGACGTCCGGAATCCCGTCGATGATGTAGTCCATTAAATCCTCTTCGTCTATCGGTACGGCGTTCGCCAAAATTAGTTTATCGTGGAAATAGTTGCTGAAGGTCTCCGACGATTTCCAAACTCGAGTTTCGAAATTTTTTCTTAAAGTCATTCGACTCTGCCGATTGTCAAAAATAGTAGTCATCTCCATCAGAAGGTTTTCGACAGACATACTGATGAATTCCGGTTTCGAATGAAACCACCGTAATGCTCTATCTTTAAGTTTAAGGCTCATCAGGAGTCGCGCACGAGGATCACCCATCTCGTACATGGTACACGGAAGTTGGAACTGTTCTTTCCAGTTGCGGAAGTTGGTTTTATCTCCATCGAAGTCACACAACATTTCCTTTAAAGAATTGATATTGATACCCTGTGACCAATGTGACCCATGTGACGTCACAGATAAGGCGGGAGTTCCTACACGCTGCAAATCCAATTCACGTCTCGTGATTCTCAATTCCCTTTCGAGAAGATCTCGTTCTCTTCGAATTAACTCCATCTCCTTGTCTCTTGTATTCATGGTTGGAGGTGGTGTGTTTGTTTGTTGTGATTGATGGGAACCAGTACTCGTCGACCCTGCCGGTTTATCTTGGCGGTCCAAATGAGGGGGTAAGGTACCCCCCAGCTGACTCTCATCTGTTTCTTCAAGTTCCCTTTCGGTATTGTTCTCTTGGTTCGGATCGTTGTGAATATCACTTGCCTTTTGAATCCAGGCACCACTTGGGTCAAAAACGTGTAAGCGCCTTATGATTTCGGCTTTTGTTCCATAGGCTGTTACCCCACATATCCTAGCTACTTCCTTAAGAGTGGCTACTGTAAATATTATGGGATCCATCAGAAGAGTGTGAGTAGAAGTATCCCCACCAACCAATCCCCACCACTTCGTACTAGGCAAAACTGCGCAAATCTGATGACAATTACGAATATTGTCGCGATTTAAGCATCACGTCACGTTCACTTTCAGGAACTAATTAAAGGAAATCCTGAGGCCGCCATTAATGATAATGGTTTCGTCAAACATAAAAATCTTCGCTTTTCAGAAATTTTCAAATTTTTTTACCACTTTCGACACAAACACTTTTCACGTGATTTTTTTTTTTTTTTAATAATCCGAAAGATTTCGTAAGTTTTCAGGATCACATCAGCCTGAAATTCACTAATATGTGTCACCACGTGGTATTCATTCACTTAGGAAAATTTCCGTTTTTCACAGATATTTCAGAAGATGTTATTCAGTTTTCGTCTAAATGTCTCAAGTAAAATAACCGGAAGTTTATAAAATTAATTACAAGTAAGTAATTATGACGCGAAACACTTAAGAGACTGAAACTTGGGTCGCGTCTTTCAAAACTAAAATGAGATCTGTGGTGAACCGATAATCGTAAGAAGTCGGCCGAATTAATTAATTAAAAGAAAATTTTTTTTTATTTAAATGGGCGTTTGGATTAGAATCCCACTTCTGAAGTTTGTGAGGGGAGTAATTATTAATTAAATAAAACACTTCTTAAGTGATATCAGGATTTATTAAAATAATACGTCTTATCGGACCGAAGGTTCACCACAAACTGCCCACCGTTACAATGTCCCTTTATCGTTAAGTAATAAGGAGGGTTTGGCGTCATATCGCCATTTACGAGGGAAAATATCTTACAAAAACTTTTTATTAATTTTCTTTAAGCTTTCTCTTTTTGTTAAAAAATTCATTTAAATTTAACAAAAAACTTAAATTTTCATGAAATGTTCAGTCAACTTTTGCGCCCAAAATTGAAAAACTGCGGACATTTAAAGATTTATTTCTAGTTTCATATAAGCTTCGGGACTAAAGATTCAGAAGATCGCAGTCAAGTTAATTTCAACTTTCAGAAAATTTTCAGGTTTTGAGACTTTAAGTAACATATTTTATGATGGGTTGTTACATTTATTTTCAAATTATTTGAAGATGATAATATAATGTATTAATATTAAAATTTAATTTATTATTAAAATATTTGATAAAATTACCTATTGTTTCTATATTGCATAGCAAGGAATTTGGAATTGTGTGTTTAAATTCTTCTTCGCATCGAACTAGTAAATTAAAACGCTTAACTCCATCTGTTAGAGTTGTCCTATCTTCTGTTGAATATCCATTTTCTTCGCACAAAACATTCAATCGTTCAGAAATATCACTAGCGGGTTCGTATCCTTTGTAACTTCGCAGAAATCTGAAACATATTATTTACACATAATTACAACGTTATACCACAATTTCATAATAAAGAAAGTTCTGTTATTAGCTCCCTGAAATCAGTGTCGACGATTATAGTATTGGAAACTATATTATTTTCAGGTTTTGGAAATGTAACTGAAAGGGTTTTTACAAATTTCATTTTGCAAAATTCCTTGATTTTTTCATGATTTCTAGGTGATAAATTCTATAAACAGTATTGCTAAATTTACGACAACACATGCAACAGAATTATTGCAGTACACATTTTTAAATTTAACTATCGAACAGATTTTTAGAGTAAATTTTTATGATTGGACAGTTTAAAAAATCGCTCTAAAATAATTCTATCAATTATCAATTCTGTTAACTTTTTGCATATATCGCCGAGATTCCAGTTGTTTGGAGCAAAATTGTATTAGGGGGGAAGGGTCTAATGGGTGAAAAAAGGATATTTTTTGTAAATTTATAGGAAAGAAACGGCAAAAGTTTACATGTTAATTTTTTCTTGCTTATTGTTAGTTAGAATTTGAAGAGGATTTTGTAAAAATTTTGTTTAAAATTATTAAGAATTATGTCGCTGACAAAGCATTTTCGAAGACGCTTTCTAAAAAACATGATTTGCATCATCATTATAATAAACACATTATCGGAAATCAAAAAATGAAGTAAAGTTGGTTAAAAGAATAATTTTGCCCAACTCCGACTTTTTTTTTAATTTTTAGTGGCTGCATCTTGAGAAAAAATAAACAAAAAAAACGTTGGGGTCGGGTAAAATTATGCTTCTAACCAAATTCACTTCATTTTTTGACTTCCGCGATAGTGGGTCAATTTAATGATGATGTTCACCGCAAATCATGTCTTTTTTAGGAAACCGTTTTCGAAAATGCTTTAAGCAAAAATTTTATAAATTCCTCTTCAAGTATTATGGGTATGTGCACTAGTTCCTGCGGCATTCCAGCCAAGATATATTTTGCATAGAAAAACAATATTTATAGCAAAGGAATTAAATTTAAAATTTATTAAACTAATTGTTTGTATTCTTAAGAAATTTTCACAAAAATTAATAGCCTATAAAATTATAGCATTTGATTAAATTTAAATAATTAAAAAGAATATCAAAAGCAACTGAAGTACATGCATTTCACATGCATGTTTGAGATTCTGCGGTAAGCAGAATTTAAAGTTAAATAATTAAAGTAATTTTATTTTAAATGTATATCTTTATAGACAATTGTATTGACTGGTATTAACACCTGCGTTCACGTACTTGGCGAGTTGTTGCATGTAGCTGCTCAATTTTAATCAATTTTCACTACATTATATTGCATCATTAATCATAGTTAACATTAAGGGGACTGTACACCACTTATGCGTGTTTTTTCAACATTTATTTTTTTATAGTAAAATGTATCGAAACACTGGGCTCTTTTCACACATATTAACACACATATTGAGGATTAAGAAAAAAATATTTTTTTATTTATTCTGACCTTTAAGGCCAACGCAGAATAGAATCTTTAACCGGAACCGCAATCGTAACCGTAAGCGTAAGAATGAGTTAAAGAAGGATAGGTATATTGTTTATCCTTCTCTAACTCATTCTTACGCTTACGGTTACGATTGCGGTTCCGGTTACAGATCTATTCTGCGTTGGCCTTGACACGATATCTCTGTTTCAAAATGTCGGAAACAAAAAATCCAAAGAATTTCTTAAAATATGTCAGTGGCTATGGCATGAACCACAACCAACATTCTACATCCATTTTTTTACCGTTTTAGGGGGGAAAAAGGGTTAAAAAAATTTCAAACCGCCGCCATTTTCTCATTTTTTTTCAAATTCATTTTTTGTGGTTCATGCCATAGCCACTGACATATATTTTAAGAAATTCTTTGGATTTCTTGTTTCCGACATTTTGAAGCAGAGATATCGTGTCAACCAGTTTTTTTCCCGATAATCACTTCAGCCGCCATTTTGTCGTCATGAAGGGCAGAATAAATAAAAAAATATTTTTTTCTTAATCCTCAATATGTGTGTTAATATGTGTGAAAAGAGCTCAGTGTTTCGATACATTTTATTATGAAAAAATAAATGTTGAAAAAACACGCAAAAGTGGTGTACGGTCCCCTTAAGAAAATAGGGTAAAATTGTCAAGTCCGTGGCATACTTTTTAATTGACTTTTATTAGCATTATTTTGAAGTACGAATATTGAAAAGAAAATATTTATTTATTTACGTGTCCTAACTGTGGCACACTTGTCAGGTCCGTCAGCCAGGTGCATGGTATGTAACTTTTGCGTTTTTCATCGCAAATGAAACTTTAAAAATATTCAAGATCTTGTAGTTTCCTTTGGAACTTATACTTCAATAACAAAAATGTACTGTAATATGTAATGAAAGTCAAATTTGGTTCACTATTTTAATGGGCAAACGTCTTTTTAAAAAAATGAAAGTTATTTGAAAATCACCCATATGGGTCATGAACAGTTTTTAGACAGTTTGCTGCGTTGGGCTTCATTTTAAAGGAAAAACCTCTATACATATTGCTGCGGTGAAAAAGGCTGCTTTCACTATGAGCAGACTAACTGTTTAGGGAAAGTGGAGCTTTAGTGCGGAAAACCCACCAGACTTCCACGTTCAATTCTATCGATTTCGGAACTGAGTGTGGTGCGAGATATGATGATCAAAAGAGTAAAATTTAAACACCGTTATAAGATAAAGATCTTATAACGGTGTTCAATAACTGACTGGAACAAAGGTTTTCCACTTGAAGACCAAGTATATTTCACTGACGGCTTTGAGGTGGACTACGGCGCAGGTTTAAGAATTTTTCGAAAAACTGGCTGCCTTTATCTCTCGCGGCATTCCTAAATGAGCCTTGATTCTATTGTGGGATTTTTTAGAGCCTATAAGGCTGCCTGACTATCCGTCAATTGCAAATGGAATAATAAGAAAAAGGATTAGCATTTGACGGTTAGTCAGGCAGTCTTACATGCTCTGAAAAATCCCACAATAGAATCAAGGCTCATCTAAGAATGCCACGGGGATAGAAGGAAGAGCTGATGTCTTGGCAAAAACAAGATCCGAGACGGTATTGATAGGCCTAGAATCAGTGGTAGAACACTGCAAAAACAAGTGTCTCATTTTGAGACGTTTTGTCCCCATATTTGAAACACATATATATGTCTTGTGTCCACATATTTGAAACAGATATGTGTCTCATTTTAAGACGTTATAAAATGTCTCATACATTTAGCACTTCATTTTAAAACACGATATGTTTCGAGTATCCGTCTCACAGTAAGAAGACGTTTTATGTGTCTTATAAGCATTGAGTCACCTTTAATGTTTTAAAATGAGACCAGTGGCGGATCCAGGGGGATCCTGGAGTAAATTCTGTATCCGCCACTGAATGGGACACGAGATGAAATGAAATGTCTCAATATAAGACAGATTTTGTATCTCAAGGGTTTAACCACTTAAAGCAACTCATTTTAAGACACGAGTGAGATACCAGTTTTTGCAGTGAAATGATGCCGTGTTTGGTTGAAACAGAAGTGGTCATTGAAAGATAGTTTTGAAAGGAACCTGAAACATATTGGGCAAGAATTTGAGTGGTAAGGCAAGCATAGTCTATAAGATGAGAGTTAGGATCGCAATTTGCATTTACTGACACTGAGCTAGTTAGCAATTTATCAATAAAAGAAATACTGGACTTCTGGAAGAGAATAGGCCTCTAAGTAAAACTTTAAGCGAGCGAACAGGAGTCAGGTACAATAGGTAGTAACCTAAGTTCCTTTAAAGATTCCCCAGTATATATTGCACTTGGCTCTATAAATGATGCCCCAAATAATTGGCTATAGAGGAGGTAACCTAAGTGCCCACTCTCTGTGGGGGAACTACAGATTGGGCTCGGCTAATTAAATTAGATTAGAAGGTATGTTAAATGATAATTCTCCCATATAGCACCGAAAGTTTCCTAAAAGTTGAAATTAACCTGACTGTGAAAGTTTCAGAAATTTAAAATAAATTTAAGAAATTTTGAACTTTCACACAATGTTCCACGAGCTTCCACGCAACTCCAACTTTTAAGAAACTTTCGATACTGAGAAAATGATTTATTTAATTCAAATAAATTTTGTTTAAATCAAACTTAAAATATCTTTGCTGTTCCGTCAAACATATTGAATTTAAACATAAGTTATGGTTGATTTTAATTATTAAATTACTAGCTGTCGTACCCGTCTTCGACGGGTTTTAGTTTCTACCAATACATTTAACAGTGTGTCTACCAATTTGGAAAATAAGGAAATAGCTCAGGAATTTAATTTGACCGGAAAAAAATAATAATTAGTTAGGTACCATTATAGCTATTTCAGTAGGAAAATATTACTATTTGAATCAGTGATTGACTTTTTATTATCAAATTAGTTATTTTAACCAATTCAAATGCAGAGAACAATATTTGTCAATTTGTAGTACTTTAATTAATGCATTAAAAATTTATCAAATTTCCCACCCAGTTTTTGGAGTTATAGTAGAGTCTAATTGGAACTAATTGTATCGCAAAGGTTACGACTGCTAAAACCTAACATAAGACCTATATTTTAGACTGAAAGTAGGGCTTAAATTTTGACCCGGGTCTGTTTTCATAAATATTATACATCAATAAAAATTAAAGTAAAAAGCAATTTTTTAAAAGCGAATTAATATAATGAAACTTTTTCTTAATTTGATTGGAAAATTCCCAGCTTTTTCCAGTTTTCCCCGTTTGGTAGTTACCCTGTTAAATGTATTAGTAGAAACAAAAAACTGTCGTAGACGGGTACGACAGCTAGTAATATAATCTATATTTTATATGAACTTAAGAAAGAGTATTTTCATAAAAATAAGTAAATTTTTATAGCCATTTGTAGATTTATTTATGGATAAAATCAAGTAAATTTAAATTTAACAAAAAAAAGATAAACCGTGAAAAAGGACAAAGCAGGAAATTT